GAAAGCGTTCGCATTTTGTATTTTAGAATGATACCGAGTAGTATTTATTCGGCCGTAGTTAAATTTGTCATTTATAATTGTTGAGAACTCTAAAATTTTACACATCATATTAGCTAGCTTTCATTTTTCTCAATATATCACAATTTTGTGCAATCCAAATTATATACTCTGTACATCTCTTTGATTCATTTATTTACCTTCTAGGTGTCCAGTTTGGTTTGTTGTACAGGGCGTATGGAAATATTTTTTCCACCACCGATTTAATATACAAATTATAATTGTGAAAATATGTTGGCCATTAATATGAATCTATTTAACTAGACTATTTTCGGTCTTGAACTAGACCAATCCAGATTAGATTTAAATCGAAAAGACAATATTTCAGAATATTTCAGATCAGACATAGATAATTGTAAAGTAGGCATAATATCAAACGTCTATTGATTAGAAAATTAGCTTGGTTCGTGGGCAATAATATGTAAGGTGACCTTTCACAAATCACAATTGAACCACCAGCAAGGTTGTTGATGACAGCATATATATAAGTGTTAGGTTTAAGATTGGAAATTCAAAAGATGGCTTAGCTTGTTCCCGGATTGCATGTCTTGCATGTGTGTGCTATAGCAGCAAAAGTTGGGAAATCAAACCATCCCAAATCAAGATACATATAAAACCCCTAATACAAAAAAATCAAAATTCTAACCATCTATTTTAGTTTTTCATTTCCACTATCATTATAATTACGTAGTATATAACTATATACTATCTCACTATCATAATAAGTGTCTCGATAGGCATTTCATGTATTTTAAGATAATTTATTGATTTACTCTACATTTTTTTAAAGTGGAAGATTTATTGTACTATAGAAGTATTATTTACTGAAATAAATAAAGATGATTTACAAAAATATGACTAATGACTAGAGTAGTAATGCAATCATAGTAATTCATGTTCAAGTTTTGAGCTTAAATTACTACAACACCACATTGTAGTAATGAATAGTCATATTTATGTAAATATGTTTTATTTTAGTAATATTCTTGTAAAAAACCCTTATTTACTTTATTAAAGTAACTTTTGGAGTGAGTTTCTTTCCAAAAATGAAAATGAGACGCTTATTTTGATACAATCCAGAAAAAAATGAGACACTCATTTCGATATGGAGCGATGGAGGGAGGACTCTATTTCCTTTTTGCAAAACTCACACTCAAAAACTTTAAATTGTAATATAAAATTTATAATCTCTAATTTTGAGTCATATGGAGTTATGAACTCACGTGGTTTCATTCATACTCGCAACTTAAATTATCATCATAATTTATAATGGGATCTCCATTTTAAAAGCACGTTATTGGTCAACATGAAACCACATGGACTCACACGACTTCATAAATGATTCATATCAATATATCATCATTATGATGTCTTTGATATTTTATCTTCTAATCTAACATGTACTCCGAATAATTACTTGTAGTTGATTTCTCACTTTTCAGCTGTATAGTTCTCGTTGGACAAATGTGATAAACTTGCATTAAGTGGTCAATTTTGAGGCAGTATTTTGAGTGTGGTCCACTTTCCATTCGAACCAGGTCAAAGTGGTTTCCGAATCTCCTTGTTAATGGCTTCAATTCGATATGTGGTACACTCAAAATGGATAACGGGTGAATGAAAAATTGATCCTCGAAGTTCACTCGTTGAAATGGAGAAAACTGAGAAAATAATAGATTTCTAGTATGATTTATCTCACGCGGGAAAACCCAAGGGATTGTCACCCCCTTATAAAAGTGACCCTCTTTAAAGGTGTTAATATTCTTGGATGGAAAGGCTCTCTTCACGCGCAAGGAAGGTGCCGCCAATCAAATCCCGAAAAGAGAGAAGAAAAACCACGACTGACGCGCGCGACCTGCGGACACGAATGACATCCAAAAATGCCCAATTACAACCTTGAAATGAACAGTTTTTTGACATATTGATGCCCAACGTTCTAATCATTTATGTCCAACGTTCAAGTCCATTAAATGTCTCGTAACACACAACAAATTCATCCTTATATATATTTGCCAGGTGATTTGCAACAACACAGTTAGCACATAGTTTTTGAGCTAAAGTTTCACTCCAACTCTCTGAAAAATCCTCAGTGTTCATACTATTATTATGTTCGCCAAAATAACTGATTGTGTGCTCATACGGTTGTTCGTAGTCACCGTATCATGGTAAACTATCGCTAAAACGCTCCTAGCGCCGTGGGAGGCAGCGAATACATTTTAAGGAAATTGTGTGTTGCACAAGCTAAGTTTTGACTTTCTGTCCCTTCTTGTTTCTATTTTTCTTGGCTATTTTAGTTTAATTAATTTTTTTATTTTCCGATTAAACACACGCAATTCACCTAATAGTTCTTTCACGAGAGTTTCTCATAAATTAGTCATAATTAGAGGTGCAACCGAGCCTAACCGAGTTCGAACATGAGTATGTTTGAGTTTGAGTTTGAGTGTGATCAGAATTCACGATCTCGAATTCGAGCTCGAGTTTGAACGAGTTAAATAACTCACGCTCGAACTCGAGCCAAGCTTAGCTCGAGCTCAACTCGAACTCGGGTCAAGTTTTGCTAAATAATACTATGTGTTTTTTTATAGATTTAGCCTGAATAAGATGCTCGAACTCGAGTTCGAATTCAAAGTAAAAATAAAATTTCTATTTTGAAATTATTAAAGTTGCATTTTACCTACATAAATTTATAATATTTGTACTTAATCGTTCTCATTTTGAATTCATCTCTCCTTTAACACTGACATTTGTATTCTTTATTTTACTTTCAATAAATATTACAAGTACATATTATAATTATTACAGATTATGGTTATAGTTATAATAATAAAATATTAATGATAGTAATAATATTATATTTATAATTATTACTATTATTAATATACACCGTATAAATCTTGAAAATGTAATAGTTCTAAGTTATAATACATATTCAAAATATTATACACATGCACACAAAGGTTCTTGAACCGGCTCTCGAGCCACGAATCTAACGGGACATCCAAACGAATAAATTTTACTGTTTTGACACTGTTTGGCACTGTTTCGACACTGTTTGACACTGTTTTTGCACTGTTTGACCCTGTTTTGATGTAGGATAACTTTCCATTTAGGGAAATGGGAACTTTCCAACGGGACATCCAAAAAAGCAAAGCGGGAACATTCCAACGGGACTGAGGGAGTAGTATTTAATACTCCCTCCGTCCCGAAAAGGTTGGCCAAATTTCCTTTTTTGGATGTCCCAAAAAGATTTACCATTTCCATTTAAAATAAGGAATATGTGGTTAAAATTAATTCTCTCTCCTGTTGGGAATATTTTATGGTGTTCAATCTAGTTAGTTATCTTTGTATTTGTGTAGTTATCAATTAATCGTGTAATACGGGCCACAAATGTGTATCAGCCCGTGGGCTTCCTTGTAACCCGTAAGTTAGCCAACTTCTCCTATAAAAGGAGACTAACTTACGGGAACCCTAACGATTGATAGAGGCTTAGAGACGCAGAGGCGTAAAGATAGAGAGTAGGGTTGCCGCTGCTCTCCTTATCCAGGGAGAGCAGCGGACAGTTTACACGGTATACCAGATTCGTATAATATCTACATATCTTTCTATCTGCTTCTTCTATAACTGCTATATTTGTTGTTTGTTAAGTATTCTGGGATTATAATCTCCTCTGCACAAATTTCAACCACATAGTTTTTACTTAATTAATCCACGTGAAAGTTAACTTTGGCAACCTTTTCGAAACGGAGGGAATACTACGTATGATACATAATAGTTTGTGACAGAGTATATAAAATCTTATACGTAGTATTAAAATGAATTTGTGTTAAATTGCTTAAAATTGTATTTCACTTAATTCTTGTCTATTTGTGTTCCTCTTTCTTAGAGTTATACGCTATTTCCTTTCTTTTTAGTCGCAACATGTTTATTTTTACACTATTCAAATTTCAAATGATATAATTTGACTACATTTTATTTATTAATCTTTAAATTCTTCTTATTTTAAAATTTTAAAACTAATTTTTTTGCATACTAAAAAAACTGAATTTCAAAATACTGAATTTTTTAAATTATTTTACTAATAAAAAGTAAGAAATGAAATATAGTAATAATCAAATGTGTGTTAATAAACGTGAAAATTGAAATGTTACAACTAAAAACAGAATATTGTTGAAGAAAATTCTATGTTGTGTGATATCGTTTAGATAGAATATGTATTAGGGGCTTTTAATGTAAATTATGTATTATGGGCCTATTGGCCCGTACTTGTAAACCCTACTGTATCTCTATTTATAAGGGATTTTGGTAATGAAACTTTGCGAAACATTCTCCCTACAACAAATATGTGTATATATATGAGGTGTTTGTGTGGGAAAGAAACAAATCAGTGTAGAATGTGATTTTGAACATGTTAAAACCGTGCATAATCTATACTTCCTCTGTTCCACTGGATTTTGACAACTTTCTCTCAAAAAAACTTTAATTTGTTACTTTAAAGCAATGATACACTTTGCCAACTTTGTCACTCAGATTCATTGTTACTTTAAACCCTTGAACTTTCATAAAAAGTGCAAATAAGCCCTTTTATAGGTAGTTCTTTCCGGCCGTCGCCATTTGGGGCGGTTTCAAGTGGAATTTTTTGATGAAATTTTTTGAGTATCTTCTTCATTAAGTCTAGTTTATTCATACCAAATTTCAGCTAAAAATTCAATCGGGAACACAGTCAAATGAATTTTTGAAGATAACTGTTGAGTTAGACAGCGCAATATATTTCAGAAAATCATTTGACTGCCTTCTCGATTGAATTTTTAGCTGAAATTTGGTATGAGTAAACTAGACTTAATGAATAAGATGCTCGAAAAATTTCATCAAAAAATTCCACCGGAATCCGCCCCAAATGATGACAGCCGGACAAAGGCTCCTGTAAAAGGGCTTATTTGCACTTTCTATGAAAGTTCGAGAGTGCTAATTCTTCCTTTATTATTCTAATTTCTCATTCAATATAAAATTGACAAAGTTGAGTGAGAGGTAAATATTGAATGAAAATTTAAATGGTATATGCAATTCAATTTGATAGATCGAAATTACAAAGCACTAATCAATCTCACAATCTTGACCACACACCTATCTGAATTGTGAAACTTCTTGTAAATGTACAGTGAATGTCAGCGATGACTGATGTGGAGATACTATGTTGTTTGGCAATGTCGTGGCGGCCGTCACGAGCAATCGTCGTCGTCGTCCCAGTGCTTTTCCCGGCGGACGAGCATAGAAATGCACCGCCTCATTATATAAAGCTTGGCCTTCTGCTCCTTGGCCAGGCTTTTGCATTTGCGGGTGAAATTTTTCACGGGGGGCTTCTTGGAGGTGGAAGGCGCCGCCGCCGCCTCGGCGGCCAGCAGGTTCTTGTGGGAATAAGTCCTCGAGATATAAGTCGACGGAGGAGGATTGTCTTCACTTGAGGTCCTCTGGGAAATGCTCCTCCTCATCGTCACACTCAACGCCGCCGCAGGATTTGAAGAAGATGGCGTCGCTCTACTGCTCGGGTCATCTTTATAGTAGTACTCCATTCTTGAATTTCCGGCCGGCGGGCGGCAGCCAATGCTTAGGATCACAGAAAGGCCGGCTTGCTGAATAACAGAGTTTGGGAGTTGGAGTCTTTGAATGGATAGACAAAAGTAGTTTGATGAGTTGTTAGGCATTTTGAATTTATAGGAGGCTGGGGGACAAGGCTGAGAGATACTCGCAAAGGCTTTGACCAGTCTTTATCCGGTTGTGAATATTTTTTCACTTTCTTCTACCTCAACCATACTCATAAATATCAATTTTATTATCAAGTATCAACCATACAAACAAGTTTGTTTGCATATGTCAGCGATATAAATATAGTCTCTCTCATCATCATTGTCATTACCTCATTACCCCAAAGGCTACCATCGTGGAGGTCAGATGTACGCAGTCTTTTTCCGAAATAAATATACTCTCTCTCCCTAAATTAACTTTGGTACATTTGATAAGTGGATCAAGATAGTGTGGATTATGTGGTGGATAATTGCGCTAAAGAAAGAAAAATGAGTCAGAATATATAAGAATGGATTTGAATAAAAAAATTACCAAAAAATAATAAAGAAAGTTTATTTTGGAATGCACAAAAATGAACTTTGAGAGTTTAATAATGAACAAAGAGACTACTATTTTTTGTGTGCTGGTAGAACCCATTTGAACACCTATTTGTTCAACTTTTCATCCTTGGTTATTATCCAACATTTTAACAGGTTACCAGTGCAGGAACTATTCCCTCCGTCCCACAATGAACTTCACAGTTTGACCTACACACATATTAATGAAATAAACTTATCATGGAGGGAATTTTACTGTTTTGACACTGTTTGACACTGTTTGGCATTGTTTTGCACTGTTTGACACTGTTTTGATGTAGATTAACTTGTCATTTAAGGAAATGATAACTTGTTTCTGGGACATTTAAAAAAGGAAAGTTGGAAGTTCATTGCGGGACGGAGGGAGTATTTTTTTATTTTGTTCTCTTTTTATTTAATTGTCAAAACGAACAAAGACATAGTTGCTTTTCTCACTAAATTGAGTGAAGTTGCTCAAGAGAAACCATTTAAGATTCTTTTCATATATTTTTTTCTGTAATTAATACTACTTGAAACATCCAAAAAAGGAAAGTGTGTCAAATAAATTGAAACGGATGGAGTAAGAAGTAATTAATTGGATGTCTATCAATTCAAATACTCCTTTCTTTGTTTAAATCTTTTTCATCTTTCTTTTTTTAGTTGTCCCGCAAAAACTTTGTCATTTTCCGTATTAATCAATCAACTTGTGTTTCTTATCATTTCTCTCTCTTTTATACAAATTTCAACCACATAATTTTTACTTTATTAATAGGGAAAATAACTTTAAATAATACTAACTATCTTTCTTGAACCAAGAATAATACAGGGTACAAACTTTACAAATACGTTTTAATAATACCAACTATTTGAATATATATCAAAAGTAATACATATCAAATACGAAGTATTTACTAAAAATCAGTTATTTAACTCATCAAAAACTATTATCAAAATACTAAATAAGTGACCGTATTTTCAAATATCATTTATTTAATGATTTCATATTAGTTTTTGATGATTTAAGTGTCTGGATTTCTTGTAAAAAACTGACTTCATTTTATTTTATATTTACATTCAGGTAGTTGGTATTGTTTTTGTTTCATGAAAGATAGTTGGTATTATTTAAAGTTATTTTCTCTTATTAATATGTGGGGAAAGGGGGCAAATAAACCCCCGAACTAACCGAAAAAGTGCAAATCACCCCTTTTATGGGAGGCTCTGTCCGGCCGTCGCCATTTGAGACGGTTCCTCGTGAAAATTTTTGATGATTTTTTTTAGCATCTTCTTCATTAAGTCTAGTTTACCTATACCAAATTTCAGTTAAAAATTCAATCTTGAAGGCAGTCAAATAAATGTTTGAAGATAACCGGACAGTTAAAAAACGCAATATATTTCAGAAAATCATTTGACTGACTTCTCGGTTGAACTTTTAACTGAAATTTGGCATGAATAAACTAGACTTAGTGAAGAAGATGATCACTAAAATTCATCAAAAAATGCCACCGGTGAACGTCCCAAATGATGATGGCCAGACAGAACCTTCTATAAAAGGGATTATTTACACTTTTTTGATTATTTCGAGGGTTTAATTGCACCTTTTCCCTTAGTATGTGCGTCTTTCAAATTTTACAAAGTCTTAAGTTAGGAGGGAGTAATACAAAGGAAATCTATTTTTAAAGTGTGAATATCTCAATGGCCCACATAAAAAATTGAACTAATAAATGCCTAAGTGCCACTCTAACGTTGTGTATCCATTATGTAAAAAAAAGGATCGATACGTTGGGAGGATGTAAATTGGATTATAATTTCAATCTGACAGATAGAGAGTGAGACTCTGTCTCCGGTACTTGCAGAAGTCCTGTGCAATTTTAACATAGTAAACTCTCATCGAAGTTGCCGGGATTCGAACCTATAACCTAACCCTCGTGGCACCAAACGGGTAAGCCTATCCATCATGTGACAATTGTACCAATGCATTGTACCAATAACTCCATAACAAATTTGTAGGTCAGTCTGACACGGTCTTCGCTCTTTGTGGACTGAAGAAGCTGTATTATGTAGTACGGTCTACCCACTTGTTGTACTAAATTAGTTCATACCAACTTTAATTTTCAAAATTGACGTTAATTATTATTGCTTAATTGTTGTACTAAAAAAAGGACACGGTTTTGTTCGATTCGATCGATATCGGAAAATTGTACCACGTTTGTCTTGTTTTGGCCAAAGGTAGCCAACCTCAATCTGTCCAAAAATACAAAAAATTTAACGTGTTCCCCCTAATTAGTACTTATTATATAGATAAATTTTCGAAGTATTTAATATGATTCGTGAGAATATTCTGTAAGGATTTATAATTTGTTTAGTTGATTTAATCATCATAGTATCTTCGGTTCCATAAGGGTATGTTTGCGAGTTCGGAGGGAATGAGAGGAGAAGACTTTGGAGGGTTGTTGGAGGGGAAAAGGAGGGGAGGGTGAAGAAGCCCTTCTTTGTATTTGGGGGTAATAAATTTGGAAGAAAAGAATTTTTGAATGAATTATAATTAAAATTACTTTGAGATATAACGAATTTAAATAATTGAACTGGTATTTATTTTTAATTGAGCTTAAATTACCATTTCATTAATTATCATTCAAAACCCTCCAAATTGGGAGAACTTAAAAATTAGGCATTTAAAGAGTTTTGGAGGGTCATGAAAGCCCTCCAAAACCATCCTCTCCAGTTTTATAAACTTCCAAACTTGAAAAGGAGGGTTATAAACCCCCATCAACCTCCCCTCCCCTCCAAAATCCAACTCCCAAACACACCCTAAAATTTGCAACAGTTTGACTTTCACGCTTGTCAACACGATACTTTGACTGTAATTATATTTATTTACGTATTAGTAAACATTAAAAAAGTTAATATATTGGAAATTTACATTAATAAAAATTTATTACGAGTAAAATTTTATACATAATATTTTTATTATATACTCCCTCCGTCCCGCAATGAATTTCCCACTTTCCTTTTTTGGATGTTCCAGAAACAAGTTCTCATTTCCTTAAATGGCAAGTTAATCTACATCAAAACACTGTCAAACAGGGTCGAAACAGTGCAAAACAGTGTCAAACAGTGTTGAAACAGTGTCGAAACAGTAAAATTTATCTCATGGTAAGTTTATTTCTTTAATATGTGTATGTGTGTAGGTCAAACTGTGAAGTTTGTGGGACGGAGGGAGTATATTATTAAAAAATCGTAGTCAAAGTAAGATGTGTGAATAGTGTAGAAATTCCAATATTGCAACTTTTATGGAAGTGATGAAGTATTTTACAATCCATACTCAATGCTCATCCCTACTCTTAGCGATTATATTTGTTCAATTTTTATGTCAAAGTAAACTTTTGGGAGGTTTTTTTCCTCCTCTATCCAGTTTTTATACACTTTCATTTCCTCTCATATTTTTACTACGTATCATTTACTTACACTGTTTAGTACTCCGTATAATAGTATTTCTACAACTTTGTTATTAATTTCAAATGAAATATTCTAGATCTACTAGAAATGAACGAGTTAGTCTGTTTACATGGAAGATATGTATACTCAACTGTAATTGAATTCATCTATTCCATTAATTTTAGAACAAGACAATATGACATCCAAATTAAAAAAGAAACAATGTCACTAATATTACTCTCTAAATTTCTAATTCCAAAAATATGACCACTTTTTTATTTTCCAAAAAAGTGACCCATCACTCCTCTTCCGTGTGAGAATGAAGCTTAAGTCGCAGAGATCTACGCACGCATATCTTCTTCATCCTGAAGATAGAAAAGATTTGCACACAACCATCCTCCGCAATCTTCTTTTCCTCTTCTTCTCCAACACGAGCTCTCCATCGGATGACGGTTCAGTGAAAACCCATGATGGAAGCGGCTAAGGTTCGGCAATGACAACGGTTATGGTTCAACGATGGAGTCTCAAGCCTTGGAGATGACATGCATCGTTGACCGACCTAACTCTTCTTCCTCTGCTTTCACTCTTCTTCCTCTGCTTTCCACGTTGATTTGGTCTCTACATCTCTGATTGATTTGATTGCGATGGAGATTCGGTTGATTAGGGTTTCAGATCTGATGTAGTGGTGGCGGATGGTGGCGGCGATGGCTATGGATGGTGGTGGCGTGGTGATTCCATGCGGTGGTTGCAGGGATTGGGGCTGGGAGGGTGCTGGGGGGATGGGGAGGGGGCTGGTAGGCTGGGGAGGGGACTGGTTGGCTGAGGAGGGGCTGGTAAGCTGGGGAGGTCTAGTGAGATCACGGTTAGGGAGGGGCTGGTAGGCTGGGGAGGGGGAGGATCGGGTATGGGGGTTGGGGAGGCGGCAGTGGCAGTGTTGTTGGCGTGGCGGCCAAATTTGGTTGAAATTTACATTTTCGGCAATAAAAGTGACACCGACGGCGACAACGACACCTGCGGTGGAGATGTCACTGCGGATGTGTCACTGTGGTCAGAGGTTGGGGTGATGATGGTTAACGACACAGTGACACGTTTGACGGCGGTAAAGTGACGTGTTTGACGTCGGCACAGTGACACGTTTGACAGGGGGAGTGACATATTAAAGTGACATGAAAATCGGCATTAACATTCAAAGTGATATAAAATTAGGGGTGGATTCGGGTCGGGGCCGGGTCAGGCCTAGGCTCGGGCGGGCCGCCGATTCTGAATAGGTGGGCCCGGGACCGGCCTGGGTAGCAACCGGGTCCGGGCCGGGCCTCAGGTCAACTTTTTTTCTCTTCCTAATTAACCCCACTCCCACCCCCAACCCCCCAAACCATCCCAAATGGCCCAAAATACCCAGCCCAACCCGAAAAGTAAAAAAGAATTGCAAACAAAATTAAAAAAACCCAAAACCGGACCTGAACCGGCCGGGCCCGTTAGGCTTTTGGGTGACCCGAGCCCGCACCGGGAACCCCAGGTCCGGGCCTACCCGGACCAGTCATTGGCCGGGCCACCGGGTCAGGCCGGACCGGTTCAGCACAGTGCCGGTTCCGGGCCGGGGCCCGAGTCCACCACTACATTAAATCAGTGACATAAAAAAATAATAGTAACACAAAATCTAGCATAACTATGTTTTTCCAAATATATGACCTTGATCACATTTGTGTCCTTTTGTAAAAGTGATCTTTTTTTTAGAAATTGACTCTTAATTTGTAATATTCATGTAAAAAGCCCATTAAAGAAAGAGTTTTGTCACTTTTAATCCTCAGATTATTATGTCATTAACAATTTTGATACTCAACTTTGAGTTTTCCTACTCTTAGTCCTTTGCCTATTGTGTGAAAAACAATTTTGGTACTCGAATTTTCAAATTTTCAAATTTTGTCATTCGACTTTCATAAAAGTGACATTTGTGATCCTTCAACCTATTAAAATGTTGACTTTTTTAGCCTCACTTATTTGTCAAAATCATAGTAGAAAGACTAAAATGTAATTTGATAATACACAAGGAACTAAATGAGATAAACTCTGAAAAATGTGACTAAAAGTGAAAAAAATTAAAATCGAGCACCAAGAAGGATCATGACAATATATTCATCGAAAATGACAAAGAAATATGTGTTTTACATGTTATGTTTAAAGAATCTTTTAAGATATATGGCCATTACTCATGACTTCATTAGAAGGGGACCAAGTCACACCCCGCCAAGGCAAAGGCAATTATTAATTTCTTGATATCCATCCGGGAAGTGAAGCAGACCACTAAAAGACGAAAAGTCAAAAACATTTAGACATACACGATACTTGTACGATTACTCTAATTATGATTTCTGATACCGAGTATTCACTTTTTTTTTTTCACAACATTAGACTTTACCATCCATTTTGAAATGAGCACCAATGACCCCATTTAAAAAAAAATTACACCTCATTCTTTCACATATTTTTAAATTGGTGTAAAGTCCAATATCATCCAAAATATGTCATACAAAATATGAAATGCAAAGTGAAATTCTCCCTTTTCTAAAACAATATATATATATATATATATATACATACAGAGTTTGAGCATTTCCATTTTTGACTAGATACAAAATACAAATGAATTCAGACATATCGAGAAAGAGACTAGTATGATACTCCATATTCAGAAAGCAATTTTCTAGTACATGTATTTCCAGTACATAAATTGCTAGTGCCTGTGGAGTGTGTTATTAGTCTCTAGCACTACATTACCTTCTCCGTCAATAAAGCACTCCTGAGATTAGAAATGGCAATGGGTGTGAGACCCAAAGGCACCCGTCCCGCATGGAAAAAATGTAAAATATGACGGAGCTCGGAGCGGGTCAGATATTCCCCACCAGAAAACAGGACGGGTGCCAAAATATGGGGCGGGTGACGGAGTAAGAGAAGCAGGAATTCCTTCCAATTTTCCTGTACATCAAGATAACCACCAATTTGTTTCTCCTGCCGTGGGACCTTCATAGATGTGATTCACCCCCTTTTCTCTTACCCACCTTTATGTGCATATATCCGATGCATACCTTTTACACTTTACAGAGCAGAGCGGCCAATCTAGGAAGTGGAGTAATAATTTATATTCTAGGCAGATCAACTAGGATTCCTTTTGCTCCAAAAGAACAATAACATGTGAGTGTAATATATTTATATATCCTCGCCACTTTTTATCCCTATTATAAGGATGCAATGTCAACAGCACATAGTACAATATGTAAACAACGTGATTTTACTTCTTCAAATAGGATTTGTGTGGTCATACAAATCTTTTTTGGAGCTGGAGGGCCTCTTACATTATCCGAAACCGTTTGATGGTTATCCGGTTATAACTAAAATAGCAAAAACAATTTTCGTGCATAGAAATTTGTATCAAACTGATATCTAAAAACAAAAGAATTTACAACATGGCTAAATAAACACTGCAACAAAATTTGCTCATAGCCACTTTACAGTACCAGGCCTGCACAAAAAGGGCTGGCCCGGCCCATCTGCACACATGGGCAAGCTGGGCATACTTGGTATATATTTATTCACCAGGCCGGGCCGAGTTAGCAATAGCATATGGGCAGGCATGGGTTAGGGTGTAAGCCCGTTCGGGACGATAAGCCCAATCCAATACATTTAGTATATACGGAGTATATACATATATTGATATACTAATTTATTTATTTTTACATGAAGAGGTGTATATTTACATTTACTATTTTATCTTTATATATATTTATGGTTCATTATGTTTAAATTTAAGTTTTTAGTTCTTAACAACTAATCTAATACCTTATAATATACTACCTATTTTATGCTTATATATAATACCTTGTACTTGAATTTTAAATTTTAGTTATAGTTTTTCATGAATCTTTTTGTGTAAATATTTTTTATGTATGTGGTGAGAAGCCTGTAAAGATTATCAACATATTAACAATTTGTAAAATGTTATAATATTATTTTTAAAAGTGGTAAAAATTGTTTTGATAATTTTGAAAAAATTTAGGTTTTCGCGGGCCGAGATACCCTTTGAAGTACCTGGCGTGCTCTTATTGGCGTCTATAAACAAGTGGTCAGGCCCGCATACACTAATGAGCAGAAAACTAATTAGAAGCCCGGCCCGACCGTGTGTTGAACCTATTCTTGTGCAGGTATACACTACACACAATAAAGAGCTAAACATTGATGAGCCACACACCTTTCCGTGAAGAACTAACCACATTTCAGAAAACTATTGACACTAATAGTTAGTAACAAATTGAAAATGAATAAATTAAATAATGTGTTCCTATTCCATATTTGGTTGGGGGTTAGGTTTTGGAGGGACGGGTTACTTGTAGTTTAAAAAATATGTTCATTGATGATAATTTATTATCAAAATAAAAGATATAGAATGGAAAATAAGTACTCCGAAAATATAATGTCCTAGTCATTTATTTATAACAGCATAAAAAATTATATAACCCCCCTTTGCCTTCCCCTCCAAAAGCCTTCAGAACAAAACCCAATTTCCAAATAGCACCCCCAAAATGGAGGAAGTGTATTCCTATACAAGCCAAACGTATGTGTATATATTTATATGCTACCTTGTCTTTCAGACTGCCCTTTTTGTTGACAGAGGAGCTCGATGATCCTTGACATCACTACTTCCATTTGAAATTTTGAATGTGTATGAGTGAACTCAATGTTGTCTCTTACATTCTCCTTTCATTGAACGCTCTTATATAGAGGGCCCAAAATCAACTCCAACATAGTCTGAGGAAGATTTGGTGTGATTTTCGGTAAAGGGGGAAGGGCCTCGCGTTTTTCTTCAGTCCCGGTTAATCCATATTTACCTTTTTGCTCAGCTTTGCCCTCTTCATTAACAATCTTACAAGGAGGAATCAAGATTTTAGAATCTATTTCCCAGAATTAAATAGAGTCGAAATGAAATAATTAAACATTCACCTCTTTAGCGATAGTCAACAAATCATCAACAGTAAGATCTTCATCTTCAAAGCCATACTGCTTGCCAAATCATGGGAGTAAATATCTGAAGACTTCTAATTCTAGCAGTAACAAAAAAACAGTTTCGGTTCCACAAGTATAAGGCCACTTTCACTCTTCACCCCAAACTTTCATATTTTACCCTTTTGGCGCAAAATTACGGATTTCTTGCCACTTTTGGTCCTCCACAACACTTTACTGTACAACTTGCTTACAGTTTCCAGGTTTTTCAACTGATAACTCATCAGGACTCATAGTGGTTACAAATCCATAGTCTTGCACCAAAAAAACAAAAGAATGAAAGCCGGAGACCAAAGTGAAATTACTTGATGTGGGACCAAAGTAAAATCTTTCTAAAACTGATTCACATTTTTAAACTTTGCCAGAAAGGGGAAGCATTTCAAACGAATGGTTATCCACTTATCCAAATCAGTTTGATTGAGAAGCAAAAAAACTACAGAAAGAATATTACCTCCTTATCTTCAATTTCTGGCAAGCTTTCATTTTTATCAATGATCTCAATAGCAGAGCTCTTAGCCTTTGTTCTTATTATTTTCGCAGGAGGAGTTTGAGCTTCATCAATATGTTTTTGTACTCCAAAATGTTTTTTTGGGTCAAAGTCACAACTGTTATCTTCCAAATTTATCTTTCTCCTGCTTCTCAAGTCATTCATATCATCCCTCGCCCTTTTATGCTGCTTTTCTCCGGTCTGCTTCACTCTCAACTTTATTTCCATTTCACTTCTGCAATTGTCACTTGTGTTTTCTTTCACTACTGCTTTTGCATCTATGTTTTCACCAGACTTTACATGTTTAGTTTTAGATTTTTTCTTCAACCTCTTCTCCGCACTTCCACAACTGCTTGCATCCTTAATTCTTCTTTTCTTCTTTACCTGACCATCATTAACTTCTTTCATTTTGGATTTCCTCTTAATCTCAACCTCCTCACCGTTTTCACCATTACTGAAATCTCGAGTTTCAGACTTCTTCCCATGATCAGAAGCAGGCAAACAATGCATCCATTCTGGCAATCGTCTTTTCACATCCATTTTGCTTATTTATCTATTGCTTTTACATAGTATATACATAAGCATCAGTTACAGTTTAGGTTTAACCTACAAAATAATAAACAATTAAACCATACTTAGAAACATCAGAGCTATTAATTAATTCCAACATTTTGGTTGATCTGCTTCCTCACTTCGGAGCAAGCAATTAATGTGGTACGCAAAGTTAAATTGAGAAGAACTTGCAACATTGATTACAATCAAAATAACAAAACAACTCTAAAAATACGACGATCAAATAGAAAGAATAATTCAAATTCCAGAATTGAAATGTTTTAATACACTCAAAACATATTTGGACTCGTCGTAGCAAAACACATTAATTCAGGAAACTCAATTGAAATATATACGAAACACACAGCGAGTATAATTCAAATTAGCATACCTCGAACAGGTGTTGGATGTTCCACGTGGCGCGGGTAAACGTGCCAGAGGTGTCGGAGACGGCCGGGTCACGACAAGGATATGCACCGGCTCCGATGGTGTAAAAGGAGGAGCTTTTTCGGGTCAGTGACGCCGGAAACTCGGGTTGCAACGAGTTTATGGGCTTTTTAGGGGCTATTTGAGATTATTTAAAATTTCTTACATTTTCCTATTTGAGATTATTTAAAAGTGAGAAAACTATCAAATAAGCCCCCGTACTATACCGAAAAAGTCGATTAGGCCCTCGTACTTTACAAACACTCAATTAAGTCCTCGAACTATTAAAAAACATTCAATTAAGCCCTTTTGGTGGGTAAGTAACCGATTTCCCGGTTAAACAACGACGATGTCGACGATGTGCTCGAACTCCAGCAACAACGGCTTTCGGGAAACATGTTACATTTAACCGGGAAACCGGTTACTTACCGACCGAAAAGGGCTTAATTGAACGTTTTTTAATAGTTCAAGGACTTAATTGAGTGTTTGTAAAGTACGAGGGCCTAATCCACCTTTTCGGTATAGTACGAGGGCTTATTTGATAGTTTTCCCTTTAAAAGTTGAAATAATGATCGAGATATTACTCCTAGACAGGGCCGGCTAGAGCAATTATGAGACCCTAGACGGTCATGTAGAAATTTTGTTTTAAACATGTTTTATTTAACCCAATGATATAAAAAATAGCAATTATGCACTAACACCCCCCCACTTAAACCTTTACTCGTCTCGAGTAAATCAAATCTGGTCCAAGAAGTCCTTAAAATAACAAGAATATCAACACACACATCCATGAGTGTTTTTAGAAACACATAAAGTGTATCCCCAAAAATATAATAGTAAAGAGGGTCTTCAACTCCATATTTCTTTATCAACCTTAACCTTTTTTTTCGTTACCCTTAGGATCCTGCAGAAATAAAAGAAAATACTTTCTCTCGTTCTCTCATTTTGCCTAGGTGCCTTTCGGCTTTTCATCCCAGCTTCCCACATTTTTCTGTTTTAATCCTCACAACTCACTCTTATTTTTGCTTTATTTTTTGCTTAAGTTGCCCTTTCGGGTTTTCAACTTAACAAGCTTTTATAATTTTTTTTTGTTTTTTTACAAGAATAAAGAGTATGAATGTGAGTATTCCATAAAACTCTCCCCCCAAGCTAATCAAAGCACTGTCCCTAGTGCTTGTGTCTAAGATGAATGTGTTTTTTTTTGTTACTTTTTGGGAGGTTTTGTTGGTGATTCGTGGGTGTGGAGATGAAAAGGGTGAAGAGGAGATGAATGAAATGGGTTTAATTGATGGATGGATGTAGGAGATATGAAACTTTTGACTTTTGGAAATGGAGGAAATTTGGGGTGTGGTTCGAATAGGAAGACAAAAGGTGGTGATTCATTTTTTTTTGGTGGGTTGCCCGGCCGGGTATAGTGATTGACCCGGTCGGGCGTAAGCTGTTCACCCGAGGCAGAGAGTTTTTTTGCTGGGTTGCTCGGCCGGGTATAGGGGTTTACCCGGTCGGGCGGTTGATTTATTCTTTGTTCTTCATCTGCCTCGCCCGGGCGGTTGGCCGGGTGCTGTGTTTTAAGAGGTAACCCGACCGGGTAGGGTTTTATACCCGGCCGGGTTCAATCCCAGGTCTTTTTTTTTTAAATGTGTAAAAATAAAATAAAAAAAGTAAACGTACCTTGCATGGGTTGCCTCCCAAGAAGCGTCTTATTTAACGTCGCGGCACGACGCCATCATTGTGTTCAATCATTTAAACTTGGATCATGATAGTTTATCTTTTTCACACTTTCACTCCTAGGACGTTCATAGGAGTGCTCAACTTCTCGACTCTTCAATTTGGGAATTTTTCCACGATCAAATATCCAGATTGTCATTGATTCATGCGGTGGGAGGAAAGGGAAGAAATTATCGTTTACTATGGTCAATGAAAAGTTTTTCGATCCCTCAATTTTGAAGAGGATTTCAGAAATGTCACTGTCCTTTCCAAGTTTATGAGTTTCCCTCAAAAAATTTAGAATTGATGGGGGTACCTCAAAAGATGACAAGGATAGATATTTGACTTTGAAGCTCAGATTATCCTCTTCTTTGACCATTTGGAGCTCCGTGTCTTTTCCTTCCTCTACTTCTTCTGGATTCTGGATCTCCTTTTGCATTTCCTTTTCATTTGTCAATGTGATTGCAAAACTTTGTTGTTTAGGATCACATTCTAGTTGAGAAGGAAGTTTTTCGGAATCCCTTGCTTCAAGCCTACTCACGACTCCGGCTATTTGACTCATTTGAGTTTCCAAGTTCAAAATGCTAGACTTAGTCTCATTTTGGAATTGCACCATGTTTTGTTGCATGGCGGTCACACTGTTAGTAAGAGCCCGAACCATTTCCTCCGTGGACATATTAGAGTTGGAGAATGGATGATACCTCATGTGAGGTACATCATCAATTTGTGCAAGGTATTCTTCTTGGAGCTTTGGGCAGAAGTCCGTAAGATGCCTGTGAGACATGCAAATGTTGCATGTCTTGGCATCTTGAGGTTTTGAGTTAAAGATAGATTCCTTTATTAGAGAAGTCAAGAAGGAAATTTGACTCTCTAAGGATGAAGTGTTGGTATCCGTATACTCATAACTCATGTAAGCTCAGAAAATAGAAGAGCAAGAATTTATATATATATATATATATATATATATATATATATATATATATATATATATATATATATATATATATATATATTTTGTTTTTGATTTTTATGAGATAAAATAAAAAGAAAAGTAATTGCCTTTCCCCGGCAACGGCGCCAAATTTGACGAGCACTTTGTCACGGTGCGTCAAAATAAATTCAATACTAGCACTTATACGTAGTATAGGTGAAGTAGAGTTCGTATCCACAGGGAAAGGAATAATTCTCTTTTTATGAAACTTAGTAAATAAAAGGGGGGATTTGGATTGAGTGATTTAATTTAATTAAAAACTAAGTTGAACGACCTATATGAGATTTAATTCAAAGATAAAAAGGACTTGGCATTGCTACTTTCCACTTGTTGATATATTTTAGTCGATCATTGTTATATCTATAACTTATTCCCTCTCGAATACTCAATCGGTGAGTATATCCACTTCATCGAGGGTAGTTATTAACAACGACCGTTCATTAATAACCCTTACTATTAATCAAATATAGAACAACGCCTTATACCGATTTAATAGTAGCATTTAATCTTTCTAACTCCTTGATGAAATCAATTGAGATTGATAACCTCAACACAACGGTTTCGGTTTAACCAACAAAATTAATCCCTCTTAAGTTTATTAACCACGACCGTGCATTAATAAACTGAAGTTACTTACTTGTGAAACCATCAACGATTAACCATCGGTTCGTTGATCATTTCTAGTAGTAATTAATGTCGGACCGTTAACTAATCGTCACTTAGCAACCTTCCAACATTAATATAGAATGAGATTAAGGGAAGAATTAATAATCAAGAGAAGAAGTTAAGAAAATAACTCACAACTTTAATAATCAACAAGCTTCAAGAGCAAAACCAAGAATGGAAGTTTAGCTCTTCATTTGGAGACTAAACATAGCTAGAAAAATATAAAGAAATGATATTCTAAACTGAGCTTAAGAGTATGGAAGAAGGAATGATTTTTAGAGAAGAAAAAGTGTGCTATTTATAGGTGTTTTTCAACACCTTTGGCCGGGTACCCGACTGGGTCAAGTACTTACCCGACCGGGTCCGGTCAAAATCAGATAACCCGCCACGTTCTGGTGATCTTCGCACGTCGTTTTGTCTCGGGTCACATCTGACCCGACCGGGTCAAGTAGGGGACCCGACCGGGTCCAATGATTTTCTTGGCAATTTCGGTTGTTAAATCATACCCGACCGAGTGGGGGTTTCTACCCGGTCGGGTTTTACTCCTGGGCAGTCAAATTTCTTGTTTTCTTCTCTTCAAAGTCTTCCTTTCCAACACCACAAATCCTAACTATACTCTACAACTTATAAATAAAGACTAAAATATAATTATAACTGAAATCACATAAATGTTTACAAACTAAATAAAATGTCAAACAATCAACATAAATCAAACATAAAAACATGTAATTATGCACTACTAATTAGTGTGCATCATTCGCCGACAACAATCTCGCACCGTCGTCTAACTCCGCCTAGTACCGCGTTGAAGCATCGCATTGCAAAATCGTTGATCGGCTCTGTATCGCCTATACCTTCGCTCGTGTATCGACGGTCGTCGTCACAGTGCTGCTACCCGCCGCCGCCACAATTAACTTTGCTCCCCTTCTTTTCTGCTTTCTTCTTTTCCCAAACGCTTCCGCCACCGTTGAGATCCAAAACACCTCCGCCGCTGATGAGTGGAGCCAGGGGCAGACCCGCTTATGTTGGGACTTGAATCTCTGAAAGGGAAGAGTGTTGGTCGGATTTAGCCGTGACTAGAGTTACTACTGCCGGAAATGAATTGAAGAATGTGTCACTATATGTGCTTGTCACTACTTGCAAATTGCGATGTCATTGTTTGAATTGGGGTGACATAGTCACTGAGCAGAGGAAGTCGGTGTCACTAGATGAAGTTGGCGAGGAAGTCACTGAACACAGGGGATGATGGAGTCACTGCCTCAGTGGATGATGGTGAGTAACGGAGAAGACACTGAGAACGCAGGGGATGTAGGGTGATAGTCACTGGGTGATCATCTAGCATCGACGATGGTGTTTGTGCCAGCAGCGAAGATGGCGGCAACGTGGTGTAGACATTAAGTGACCGCAAGTCGTGGATTAATTATAAAAATGAAATACTCCGTATAATAATAAGGGCATTAATTAAGGCATAAAGAAATGATAAGTCATGTTTTTGAAATACTAACAAACCAGTCACATTTTTGTCTTTTGTATATGTTTTAGTAAAATTCATAAAAAAAGCCTTAAAAGTTTGCTACACTTTTTGTTTTTGGTAAATTCTTTCGTTAAAAATACCCAATTATCTCAATTTTTCCTACTTTTTATCTTCTCTTTTCTACTTTTTCACCTTCGTTCCTACTTTTTCTACACTATTCATTATCTCTACTACTTCTTCCTTAAATATTGTGCCAAAACCTAATGTGGTGATCTTAAGGAATTTTATCAA